GGACTCATATATATATATATATATATATAGTATATCTTTATAATTATTATTGTCATTATCGCTATGTTGCATTACAACATCATATATACATATTGTACTATCCGTACTGCTATGCCAAGTTTGAGCTTGGCTTCACAATGCAGGACGACCTCGGACACGTCCTAAGCTACGTCAGCTCGACATCCAAATAGATCATCACTGATCTAGGGTCCAAGGCCCAGTAAAACCCTAATCCACACAAAGGTATGTGCATTACTTATACGAGACTCATACTCCAACAAACACTAACTTTAGCAACAAGCGTACCAGTGAAGGAGGCTCGCCGATCTTATCTGACAGATCGTCCCCTATGATCGATCTCCGGTAAGAACATTTGGCGCCCACTGTGGGGCCGATCAAGACAGCTCTTATCGGCCACGCTTATGATTTTCACCCGAAGCCATAGTAGACGAGCAACAGACGACGTAGATCACACGACAAACATGGACAACGAAGCAACATTGAGAAGGCTGATCGAGCAGGTCGAACAAATGCGGCAGCAGCACACCGTCGATCTGCAAAGCATGCGTGCCAAGCACGAAACTGACCTAGCAGCGCTGCGTATCGCTAACGACGCTGACCTAGCAGCGCTGCATGCTGAGAATGAGCGTATTCGCGCCCAACTTCCTCGGCGCCCTTCTGATCAACCCCCTCAACTGAGTAACCAACACGAGGAAGAGGGGCATTCGATTTCTCAACCACAGAGATGCATAGGTGGATGCCAAATGTCATGAATACACCTGGAACCAGAATGGCCCGTTCAGAAACCAGAACGGTCCGTTCTGCATGCACATGTTATGTGTTAATTTTGCAATTGAAACAGGCCGTTCCAAATGCAAATTTAACACAACATGAGTGCAGCAGAACGGGTCGTTCTAAATTCAGAACGACCCATTCCAGAACGCCAACTTCATGCTTTTTATTGTATTTTTTTTATTATATCTATATTAATAAAAATATAATAAATAAAAAATACAATAAATTAATATTCATTTATGAATAAAACTAAAAAAAAAGAATCAAATAAGATAAGACCTTCCAAAATCCTTCTTCGATTTAAACTTATCCAGTTCAAAATCTTGAGTAAAATCGCAATATGATTCAAAAATTAAACATAAAAAATAATATAACAAAAATTCAAAGACAGAAACATAGTTCAGAAACTGAAAACAAAAATTTAGAACATAACATATACTAAAAAAGTTCAAAGAAATTATTGAGAAAGGAAATCATCTGGGTAACGCTGAAGGGAAACCCTAAACCACAAAAATTCAGGTTGTACCTCCTCAAGAACAGGTTGTTATTGTTGGGGTACATCGTCAATGACTTCAAGGGGAAACACCGCTTCGTTTCATCCTTGACTGTATAGTGTCAATTTGGTAGTAAGTGATTCACTCCAGTTTGACTAACAATGAAATAAAACTTGTTACCATTGTCCTTAGTGATACACTGCATCGTCCTTAATGATACACTGTATAGCCCAAATATTTAGCAATTGAAATGCTTTGTACCTTGGTTTTTTTGTGCACAAAATTCTAGAACCAGAACGGCCCGTTCTGAAACCATAACGGCCCGTTCTGAAACCATAACGACCCGTTCTAATTACACTGTTGGTATGTTAATTTTGCATCTGGAACGGCCCGTTTCAGGTACAAATTTTACACACCAATAGTGTAACCAAAACGGGCTATTTATTCTGATTTCAGAACGGGCTATTCTGATTTCAAATTAAGATTTTAACACTTTATTCATTGAAGTATTTTTACAATTGGATTTCAAATTAAGATTTTAACACTATTCATTGTCTAAACCTCTTCAAATTCAACATAACTGTATGAAAGATCATGTTTGATAATACACTCAACAAGTGCATCTTTATAAGTCTTAGGATCATATTTTCATTGCTTTAATAAATTAGCTTTGTTATCTTGCATGATCCCAATATCTTGGTACTTAGGAGATTCAATACATTAATAATATGACGTCTTAAATGACTAGTACCTAAAATAAGGGCAAAAAAACTATCACAACGATTAACCTTAACCCTAAATTTGTAATCACAACTCTATAAACAATCACAAAATAGTAAAAGATTATAACTATTATTATATTTTATTATATTTTTTCATAATACATTACAAGTTTTCGTATTAACAATGATGGTATTTCAAATTATTTCTCTTATTAATTTAGCGAACTAGTCAATAAGCTTACGGGTCAGCTTGACTGGTAGCTATTTAGCCTATCAAATTTAATAGATCGGATCAAAATAATTTAGTTATATTTAGGTTGTCATTTTTAAAGTATAACTTAACATTATTTATGAATTAACAAGGTTATCCCATCAAACTGACAAAGAATTAACAACTAAAAAAAAAAGTAATACGAGCAAAATTTGTTCTTAAAGCATTTACGATGAAATTTGAAACAACATAAAAAAAAAAACGTGAATTGATGATTGCAATGCCGAATCATATTTGATCAATTAATTGGCAATTTAATTTGCTTACGATGGCACATGAACCTAAGACAAGTCCTTGACAATGAATTCCATGAATGCTGCTCACCGGTTGATAGCAAGGGTGAGTTAAGCGGCAATATTTTGAAACGAAGTTAATTTATTTGGCACCGATATCATTCATTGCTTGCCTCTTGATTCCACGCCGTAGAATCCGTATTGTAACATCGCAATTTCGAGTATTATTAACAATGAATGCTTCTCGTCCTATAATATTCCATTATTTACCATGTAATGTATTTTAATTTATACTACATGCCACTCAGAGGAAGAAGAAGAAGAAGAAAATTCTGACTGAAATTCTCAGAAGTGGGCCATCCTGTACACATTGATCTTCTTAATAGCAGTGGGCTACCGTATAGTTTACGGGCCACAAGCCCACAAGATATGAGGTTTGGTGGTTGATGCTGAAGAGTTTTTTATTTATTACACCATAATTGGATAATTACATTTAAATCAAGCGGAAGTAGTGGGCATGTAAATCGTGTCAAATTGGATGCTTCAGACTTTCAGTACATCAAAACAAGCTGATGAGGATGAGGGTGGGTTTAAATTAATTGAATCATCAACTTATAAGAAAAAACCATGCAACGGTAGTAGGAAAGATAAAAAATATAAAAATATAAAAAAAAATTGACACTTTTAATAGCATTAAAATAGAAAATATGTCATCTATGACATTTAAATTTAATTGCTGGTACCTTTCTCTCTGTTTTGCATTGTGTGGAACCGTGAAATGTCTTTATGACGATGTCTCAATACGTCGAATGTCGATACACTCGCATTTGTTTCTTGCCATCTACTACATTATACAGTAATGTATGAAGAAATTCTATGCGTGCAGAAATGGAATCTGAAATTTTTATATTTTTGATTACTTTAAGCTATTTTATTTGAGCATAACATACGACTCTTACGGTGATCCATATGTTGGATAGTTTGTGAGTTTGTGGTGTTCCATGGGTGAACGTAAGCGAATGTTAAAATGTTCTAGGCTTTGCCAAAACATGAACGTTATTGTACTATCTACATTTGCGTGTACGTACGTACGAACCTGCAACGTGCGAGCCCCCACTGTGAATACCCAATGTTGATAACAAATTTATGATTTTCGTTAATGGACCATGCCTTGTTTCCATTTATTCGTATTCAACATTCACCAAATTCACAAATTCCCCTCAACTATTTCAGGTAATCAATGCCTCGTCATAACATACATCAACCTCTTAATCAATGGTCCAGATGCTTCCAAAAAACTAATTTTGCACCTACCTACCCGCTCCGCTCCATTCGGTTTTATAGTTCCTCAACCATATCTCATGCATTCAATTTCCTCGCAATTAATTTGGTCCCCCTTCGATAAAATCACACATGCTAACACTCCTTACATCATCTTCAATTTTTATGCATTATATATTTTTTCAATATTTTCTTTTATTTAAGAATTCTTCAACCAACCCTCATAATTAACATATCATTTTAAAATCTAACCAAGTGCCCCTGTAAGGAATACAAGTCCTAGTGCTGTTGAACCCACTGAGAGCACTACTACGCAAGCACTGAATGCACCAGAGGCACATGCAAGAAGGGTGAGACGTCCACCTCAGCATTTGGAGGATTATGTGACCACGTGCCCTGACCCACGCACAAAGAAGAATTCCGTTAGGAAGGATTGATTGAGAGTATCCTTTTGTTATTAGCTAATGATTGTACTGCAAGGCAAATTGCCATTCGTGCATATATAGCACTTTACTGTATGGAAAAAGGGAAGAATAGAAAAAGTATTTGCTTTCTCTCTGAATTATCTCTTCTTTCTGTTATTATTCTCCTTTCTCCTGCTGCAGCACCTTCCATTTGGTGCTTTCATTGCTTCCTACTCACCATGACCGACCCTACCTCTCCTTCAGGGGAGCTTAC